ACAAATATATTTATTATTTATATAAAAATAGAAAGAGATCAAAATTGTGTTCACATCTTAATTTAATCTGAAATAGATAAATGTTCTGTATAATGTTTTCTTTAGTAAATTAACTCTTTCAATCATATTTTTTTTTTATTCTGTTTCTGTTTACATATGGATCATAATGTTTTATCGCAGGTTTAATTGTCTCACAGTGCTTGAAAATATCTATAAAAATTTATATACATTCCTTGACATCTATAGAAAATGATCATGTATAAAAGCAAAAAAATGAATTTTAAACGTTTTCTTATTGATTGAGGCCTTTTGGATATGCTATAGTAGATAGAATCTATAATTACATCTCTCTTAATAGATAGAATTAAAATGATCCATATGTGACTTTTAAGGATTAAATTTCTTCCCTTAAAATATATAAAATATTTTTTAAAAAGTGGAAGAAAATTCATATATTATATAGAATATTTACTCTGAATTGGAATATAGAATGCTTATGAATGAATATCTATCTAGAGTCACAAATATACTATATATAGATGTATTTTTCACTTATTGTAATGTTTCTTTTGTAATTTGCAGGCTTTTCACCAGGTAGAGGAGGAGGTGGCCGTGGAGGTGGTCGCGGAGGCAGCCGTGGAGGAGGCTTTGGGGGAGGTCGTGGAGGAGGCTTTGGGGGAGGCCGTGGAGGAAGAGGCGGTAGAGGTGGTGATAGAAGAAGTGGTGGCCGAGGAGATCACAAAGGAGGTGGCTTTAAAGGTGGAAAGAATGTAATAATAGAGCCACATCGTCATGAGGGAGTGTTTATAGCTAGAGGAAAAGAAGACGCATTAGTAACTTTAAGCTTAGTACCTGGAGCAGCAGTTTATGGAGAGAAGAGAATCAGCGTAGATGTAAGCTCAACTTGTATTGCATTAATTTTACTACATTTGTCTTTTATATTTCTGTGAATTAATAGTATAAAATGTTTCACATTACGCAGACTGATAATCCTGGAGAGAAAATTGAATATAGAGTATGGAATCCATTCAGATCCAAATTAGCCGCTGCTATTCTTGGAGGTGTTGATAAAATTTATATGCCTCCTGGAAGCAAAGTATTATACCTAGGCGCTGCATCAGGTACCACTGTGTCTCATGTTGCTGATGTAGTTGGTCCAGTAAGTTTGATTTATATCAGAAATATGGAAAAGATGTGAGAAATTATTGAATTATGCATACATTAGAGCCAAGTTAGCTCATAATTGTGAACTTGGTGTCGAAGTGATGCTAGAACAATTATATGCTCGCTTTTTTCTGGATGAGTAAAATCTAATTTTACTTTAAAAAAAAGAGAGCATACAGCGACTATATATTAACATGTATTTATATAAATTATATAGGGGAAATTGAGAATATATAAATATCTCGATATTTTTATTTTTACAGGACGGGATTGTATTTGCAGTGGAATTCTCCAACAGAACAGGCAGAGATCTTATAGAGGTCGCTAAGAAAAGAAGTAACATCATTCCTATAGTCGAGGATGCGAGGCATCCTCATAAATACAGAATGTTAGTAGGAATGGTAGATACTATTTTCTCAGATGTGGCACAGCCAGATCAGGCTAGAATTGTCGCTTTAAATGCGCAAAATTTCCTTAAAAGTGGTGGACATTTTGTTATTTCTATTAAGGTAAGATATTTGTGATTTATTGCAAAATACATATGAATGAATATCTATCTAGAGTCACAAATATACTATATATAGATGTATTTTTCACTTATTGTAATGTTTCTTTTGTAATTTGCAGGCTTTTCACCAGGTAGAGGAGGAGGTGGCCGTGGAGGTGGTCGCGGAGGCAGCCGTGGAGGAGGCTTTGGGGGAGGTCGTGGAGGAGGCTTTGGGGGAGGCCGTGGAGGAAGAGGCGGTAGAGGTGGTGATAGAAGAAGTGGTGGCCGAGGAGATCACAAAGGAGGTGGCTTTAAAGGTGGAAAGAATGTAATAATAGAGCCACATCGTCATGAGGGAGTGTTTATAGCTAGAGGAAAAGAAGACGCATTAGTAACTTTAAGCTTAGTACCTGGAGCAGCAGTTTATGGAGAGAAGAGAATCAGCGTAGATGTAAGCTCAACTTGTATTGCATTAATTTTACTACATTTGTCTTTTATATTTCTGTGAATTAATAGTATAAAATGTTTCACATTACGCAGACTGATAATCCTGGAGAGAAAATTGAATATAGAGTATGGAATCCATTCAGATCCAAATTAGCCGCTGCTATTCTTGGAGGTGTTGATAAAATTTATATGCCTCCTGGAAGCAAAGTATTATACCTAGGCGCTGCATCAGGTACCACTGTGTCTCATGTTGCTGATGTAGTTGGTCCAGTAAGTTTGATTTATATCAGAAATATGGAAAAGATGTGAGAAATTATTGAATTATGCATACATTAGAGCCAAGTTAGCTCATAATTGTGAACTTGGTGTCGAAGTGATGCTAGAACAATTATATGCTCGCTTTTTTCTGGATGAGTAAAATCTAATTTTACTTTAAAAAAAAGAGAGCATACAGCGACTATATATTAACATGTATTTATATAAATTATATAGGGGAAATTGAGAATATATAAATATCTCGATATTTTTATTTTTACAGGACGGGATTGTATTTGCAGTGGAATTCTCCAACAGAACAGGCAGAGATCTTATAGAGGTCGCTAAGAAAAGAAGTAACATCATTCCTATAGTCGAGGATGCGAGGCATCCTCATAAATACAGAATGTTAGTAGGAATGGTAGATACTATTTTCTCAGATGTGGCACAGCCAGATCAGGCTAGAATTGTCGCTTTAAATGCGCAAAATTTCCTTAAAAGTGGTGGACATTTTGTTATTTCTATTAAGGTAAGATATTTGTGATTTATTGCAAAATACATATATTCTTAAGCTTAAAAATTTACAAAGCTTGAAAATTTATCATTTATCTAATTTAAGGCGAGTTGCATAGACTCAATCTCACAACCCGAAGTGGTCTTTGCATCAGAAGTGAAGAAACTAATTGCCGACAATTTAAAACCACAGGAGCAAATCACACTCGAACCATATGAAAGAGATCATGCTGTTGTAGTCGGCGTCTACAGGCCACCACCGAAAAAAAATATATAAAATATATATGTAATTATTAAGATTATTACTTGTATTGGTTTATATACATCCCTTTTTTTAACTTTAATGAGAAATGTCATATATTTAATTCGAATGAACGAAATGGAAAATGCGAGATATTTTATTAAGATTAAGAAACATGATTTAATAAAAATAAAAATAGTAGTTTATAATGTATGTATATATAAATTCCATCGTTATCCACGATAGTAGCCCTTATCGCTGTTGTCCTTTACTGTGTTGCATTGCCGTATCGCTTCTTTCTCCTTAAAGCTAACATAAACCTTGCAGCTCTGCCGTGATATAACATCACTAAGAATTAATATATGGGAGATGGTCTATTCTATGGGTAGTATAGAAAAAGAGAAAGAGAGAGCAGAGAAAATTGGTACTGTGCTGTATGCTTTACAACGCTGAATTGTAAATCTACAAATCTAAAATTTAAGTATATGTTTTATATATGATGATGTACTACATTTTATTGTATACACATATTTATATTTGCATATTTCAAATGCTTGTGAAATAACAAATATATATTTCTAAGGTAAATATAATTGAGCGTTATTTGACTTATATACATTATATATTTTTGTATAAATATAAAATATTTGACTAATATATACACTGCCAATAACACATTCCCATATGAAGTTACATTTAGGTATGGAATGCGTATAACTTGTATATTTCCTAAATGTGCCTAAATCTATGTAAGAAAATATTTTTGGCGCCCAGTAAATACATATAAAAGAAATGAACAATAACCAATATAATATGAATGAAGATATATTTTTTAATAAATATCACAGAATTTATAAATTATAAAATAAAATCGTTCTCTCTCTTATACAATGTATTATATGTAACATTCTTTTTTTGAAAGATACAACCTTAAATTATCTAAGCTCTATTAAAAACAATATAGAGACATAAAAAGAAAGAATAATAAAGATTCTTCAATATCCCAAAATATTCATTGAATTTAGAGTAATGTATAACAAATTAAACTGTAAAACAAATAATTGTAATTTCTTTATGAACATCTCATATAAGCCCGTATCAGACTACGCATCGAAAATTGAAAACTAAAGATTAAAGATTGGAACTTGACTAATCAAAACAAAAGTAACTACAATTTCTTTGTCCTGATTGGTTAAATTTTAATCTTCAATCTCAATCTTCAATACATAATCTAATACACTTTACACATTTTATACATTTCCATATTAATAATATTATTATGTATAAAACGGAGTAAATAAAATAGATATTAACATTTCGTAATCTTTAAACTTTTTTTATATTGTAATATATATAAGCGTTTAGCCCCCGTATCAGACTATGATATGACTATATATATATGTCCTGATTGGTCAAATTTCAATCTTGAATCTTCAATGCGTAATTTGATACGGGCTTCTGCGCAATTTACTGTCTGTTTTTCCACCTCCAAATATCCGATTACTTCAAAGATTTCTGATCTTTGAAACATATGATCTGCCGAGTTCATATCGATTTATACTCTTCTCATGTTGTCATTAAACTGTCAAATTATTCCGTTCTGAAAGATTTAAATTGTCAAGTCCATCATTACTTTATTTTTGGATTAATGTATAAAAAATAACTATATTTTTATTATTTGCGTGTATTTATCAATTTCTACGAAATTTGACACAAATGTATTAGAAATTTCAAATATATAATAAATGTGATATTTTATAAAATCGAAGCGCCGCCGCTTGAGTTTTAATAATTAAAATCGATATGCAACGCAAATCTTTAACCGCGTCCAAGAGTGGTAAGCTGAGAGAAAAAAAGAAAAGGAGAATATTTATTCTTTCAGCCTGAGAAACATTCTTTTTCGTTCTACAGTTCACGCAATCAGCGAACGCCGGAAATCATTGAGCAAAATACTAATCCGTCAAAAATCGACAACTATGATCGTTCACAAAATTAATTCATCGAAAACATCTAATCACATTCGTCTTGTGGGTGGCGCGGATGTTTCCGAAGAACCCGATGTTGCAGAAAAAACCCTTATCGAAACATCAACAGCATCTATTCAGGAAGTATCAGCACCACCGCCTCCGACTGCGCTGACATTACCATCGTCCGAGAAAAGATTTATAGATTCATTACCTGTGGAAAAATCCACGCGGTCGGAAATCACAGATAATAAGTCTCATGAAGATAAGCAACATCTCTCCGCAAATGGCCCATGTTGTTTCTGCGTTTCGCAAACGCTACGATCAGTCGGGTAAACAGATCAATTACATTTCCACTTTGAAAAGTGTCAAATAATTTAGTTGATTAATTTTAATCTATTAAATTATTGTCAATTTGCTTACAAAGAATATGGATAGAATAATAAAAAAAGATGCACGAGAATATATTGTTTATAATGCACACATATATTACATGTTTAGTATACATCATTAAAATCTTAATACATTTATTAAATATTCTATCAAAAAGAGAGAGTATCGTTTTAAAAACATTCAGAATTATTGATAGAATTACGTATGTATATATGTGTGTGTGTGTGTGTGATCGCGCGCGCGCGCGCTTTAACTGTAATATATTTATTATATTTTTTATTTGTATGAAATTATTCTTTTTCGTAACAGTTGAACATTTATGCAAAATACTTTATTATTTTGCATCATTCATCAACAGGGATAGGAAGGTAGATGAAATAATCGAATACGTGCACCAAAATCTCGAGGAGGCTGGCAAGGCTTTAGCAACTTTGGGCGAGAACTTCGAGCATGATTTAAAGGTTGAGCCCCACATTCAACTAGAATGTCATAAAACTGTCTCGACTTCTCGAGGGCGAAAGAGGAGAGGGTACAATTGACAACCCGATATTTTTTGTATTTTACGAATATGATGAATATGTCTTACAATCGATTATATGCGCGTAAAAACGAAAGTCTTTTCAAAAATTTGTAAGATATATAAATCCCCGAAAAAAATTTCCGGTCTTCTTAAAAAGAAAAAAAAATTTTTGTCGATCTTTCTCTTTATAATTTTTACAAAAACTATTAATCGCAATTGTCTATTTATTTAATCCAGTTTAGTTTTACTGCAAATGCTGCTGCTATATTATAATAAATATTTATTATAATTATCTACCTCATTTCCCCGCAAAAAGTTTATTTTCTGCTCCTTTTCATGAAAGTTGATGTTCATCGATATCCTGGGTCGAATTAAACAGTGGACCGGTATCGTGCAGAACAAACTCGACGCCTGTAAAAATGAGATTGGCAATCTTCGCAAGGAATTATTAGCTCGTGCATGCGAAATGGATGTTAAAACGCGCGAAATGGAAGATCTCAAAGTTCAAATTACAGATTATCAGAACGCTTTACAATTGAATGGCGAATCATTGAAGAAGGATAATATTAAAGTTAGATCAGAACAAGAGGAAGAAAAGATCCGTAAAGTAAGATTTATCGTTAATTTGATCCGAGAAACAAGAATAAAGAAAATTAATATATATATAATCAACTAATTTAATTTAATAAGATAAAATATACCGTACAAAACCTTTCCAATAACATAATTTTCGTATTTGTGAATAATTAAAGAATTAATTATAAATTGATATTATTAATTCATAATTTATTTATAATTTTTTTACATTGTATTACGTTAGAAAAGAGATGAATTCTTGCAGAAGATCCATGCAGAAGAATTCTTGGCAGAAGATGCGAAGGAAATCAAAAACCCTAAAATTAAAGATACAGTGCGAACTGTTGATCAAATAAAAGAAGAAGACGAAGAGAATAATGCAGAAAGTGCGGAAGCTATCAATCACCAAGAAACTGTAAGAGATGCCAAGGAAATTGACAGAACTAAGAAAAACGTAATTAAAAATCCAATTAAAAATCCAATTAAAAATACACTGCAAGCTGCTGATCAAATAGATGAAGAAGTGAAGCGAGCTATCGACATGGCTGCTCCAACTACACTGCAAGAAAAGACGAAGCGAGAGTTCGAGGTAGTTTCCTAAAAAAAAGACGTTACGATATTAGATTGTTGCATATATTTTATGTATGCGTTGTGCTGTATTTTCCATCTGTTAGTTATTTGTAAATAACAATGTCCTTTTCGATAGCTCGAATCTGAAATCACACAGCTTCGAAAGGAATACGATAGAGTCATCAAGGAGCGCGCCGAATATGAGAACGCGATTCAGCGAGCATTGTTGCGAGGGGTGTCATCCTTGAACGTTGAGGCACTGAGAGTTCTACGATGTCCACCGATACCCTGCTGCGCTCCTTGTGCACCGTGCCCGGCAACTGCAGGAATCATACCAACGTAAAATTTTTTAATATCAAACTGCTATAACGAGGCATTTCGATTTTACGCCAGCGTTAACCGATTTTTTAATTTTTTTTTTTTTTATGATATAAAATAGTATGAGGATATATTTAACATCTTGATACATTTGATAACATTATAATATTTTATATATTTTTTTATGTCTAAATTAAAAGGAAAAAAATTGTTATCGTTAAAGATGCGAGTGATTAAAATTGGAAATACATTACTGATTTTTAGTGAACCCGTCGTGCTGTGTCCTGCCAAGAACGCGAAAAGACGTTCAGGATCAGCTGCTGCGACTGCGAGCAGTGCCAAGGTTCCGCGCGATAGAAACGGCGATCAAACTGATTGCACAACGAAGTGGCCTTGCGCCAGTCCTTGCTGCCTCGCCGGCAGAAATCGGAAGTCCGCAAACGGTAGTATGATTTTTCTCCTTCGTCAAGGTAACGGGGAAAATCTATATGACGAGGACACAACTCCGGTATGCGGATCAACGGTCGTGAAGAAGATCGAGTTACCACCATTGCGCAAATTCGAGACGTAATATTCGATGGCGCTTGTCATCGTGGCCGACTTACCTATCGTTCACGTTAACGTGGACATCATCGATGAAAAGTATGAAAAAGATATAAAATAAAGTATCAGAGAGAGTATACACTCAGGATATCAACTGAAAATTTGTTAATTTTATGTGTATGTGTTCATCGTTTCTTTTTTTTACTAACATATTGTAGAATCCCGGAAAAATATTTAAAAAAGATACACACATGATAAAATAAAAAAAATATTAAAAAACAGAACGGAGAATAAAATAAAATTGTCATGTGACATTGTATATATTTTACGGACATTTAAAAATCTCGAAAAAGAATATATAAAAAATTTTAAATGAAATTGCAAAATCTTGAGAAGAGTAGAAAGGGAGCAAAAGGTGGAAAATTTATTTGTGCATATTTACTTTATTAGGATGTTGTAGAGTCTTTCGTTAACTAGGTGATCTTATCTCTTCAGTGACAAGTGTAATTAACACGCGCAAGAGATGCATGATTCATCGGGAATTGAGTAAGGTGTTCGGCGGGAATAGATACGAGGTCTAAGAGAGAGTAGTATGGAATTTGGGTTGAGGACGTTATTTCATGCGAAATGATTTATCATAATAGCGCAGATACACATGCTACTTACCGCTCATGCGTGTAGGTCAAGGCGCGCCGATTAGATTGTTACTCGAATACTTCCATCAATTATCTAAAAACTCCAAAAATATGTTGTGCATAAAAATTTAACACGACATGCATATTAAATTATTACAACAAAAAGGTTTGCCTTTGAAAGAACGCATTCTAAATCATATAATAAATCGTCTTTAGAATGCTGACTTTTATTGCTCGTATTTATACTGGAATTTATTCTAAAAGAGGGAAAAAGAGGAGAAATATGAACAACATCGTCGTTGAAAATATAAATATAACACTTTATGTAATATCGTCAGAAAAATATTACAAATATTGAACAATCACTTTCTCATAAGTAATAACGTGAATATTCTTTCCACCTTTTTTCGTATTAGAAAGTATAATATACCGGAGAATATATACCGAAGCTCGTGTCACTTTATCTGTTGAGGCAGGAAGTTTCCAATCACATATTCTAACAAAATCGATATGTGCATAATATAAACTAATGCATATCTTATTATATTATATTGTTAAAACATATAATAAAAATTTTCGATGTAATGCGATACTCTTGGACTAGCCATAAGTACGCAAAGTAAAGTGCTATTTATCGACATAATGTATCTTTTATACGTAAATCTTTACATCCCCACAAATAAAATATCCTTATAAATTATGAATATAATCACACGCGTGAATTTAAATACGGAATATGTGAACACATAAATTTGCGATAATAATATTTTCACTTGCAAAATTAATACAAAACACGCAAAGTGAATCAGCTTTAGTTTAGTGATATGCAAATAGTGATGATCGAGAATGCTCTTCAAAGATGGATAATTTAACTTTCCTCGGAAATCATCTCGATAGATGAGTTAGGCAAATACGGTGTGCACTTAGAAAACAATATTTTTCATTAGAATTTGTCACGATGCGCAGTGCATGGCTGAAGCAGTGCGCATTTCGCGACATTCTTTTTGCAAATTTTTTTGAATTTACATCCAAATAAAAATACAATAAAACAATTGCTCACCTAAAAATATATATATATAAAATATTTGGTAATATATAAACGCATTTTTTAAATATATTGTAGCGCGAAATACGCTTTAGAGAGTTCCACAAATATATAACAAAACTTTATTTCCTAATCAATTCTAAATAGATTTTTTTTTTAAATTTAAACTTCGGATATAAATTGCCAAAATATTAGCCAAGATTAGCTTTAAAAAATGTGTGCGTGAAAAATAATCGTCGCTCAATTTTGAATTTTAAAATATCGTTTAAATTCTCATTATAATTATAAAATCCGTCTATTACCAAATACGATATACATATGGTATAATAAAAATGGACGATTTTGCGATTACGCAATGATGCAAAACTCGTGGCTGTCAAGTTTCGCAAAATCTGCGATAAAATGCTGAATATCGTGAAAACGAAATAAAATTGAATCTCGAAAGCTTGCGCGATCGACATAAACAGGCGAAAGAGTCGAACGCAATCTCTCCGAAAAACTTCATTAACATACAATATATAGAGTGTATAATTTATTGTCACGAAAAACGCGTCGACTCTTGGATGTGCGAGTTTTATGCCGGCCGGGAGTCTTCGATGACAAATTTCCTAAAACGTTCCTTTGTAAGCGACAAGGTTTCTCGACTGAAGGAGCAGCGAACGGAGACTATTTCGGCAGGATTATCGCTGATCCAGCAGCGATTTATTTACGTTACAATATTCTTTATTGCGTTGAATACTTATACGTTTTCACAATAAAATTGCTATTTATTTGCTGCCCCTTCACACCGGAACTTACACGTCCCACGTCGTTGTCCTGCTCGCTCTGCGACAAACAACTCGCGAGTTCCGTATCATTAAAATTTCAAAATTCGCGAGCATTTTCATAGATAATAGATGACAGTGACGCGTCATCATCATCGCTATTGTCAATGTCACTCACATTAGCAGTTTAAGCGCGCCCTTATCAGCGAGGGACGTGCGTTAAGCATGTCACTATCCGTTCGCGCTTGGTCAACTTGGATAGTGATCGCCCTAAATTTTCTCGATCGTGCTTATGACAGAAACACAAGAACCGTCGCCGAGATACTATTTTCTTTCTTAGGAAATAAACGGAATGTATGCGAGAAAGTATCGCGGCGACCAAGTCCCTTGGACGAGGCCCTCGTAACGAGGTAGTAATCGGATGATAAAGCCAGTCGGGGAACAGCGGTCGCGATCGGCGTATCATGCAATGTTAAATTAATTAGTGGTCCCACGGCCAGTGATGCCGATGATACCGCGACGCGTTCGAACGTCTACTTGTTGTGCACCAGATTCAGAAACTCCTCGCGAGTCTTCGGATCATCCCGGAACACGCCCAGCATCGTCGAGGTCACTGTCTTGCTGTTGATCTTCTGCACGCCTCTCATCACCATGCACATGTGCCTGATATGCAAAAGAATTTTTTTTTTACAACGGTGCGCGTGCAAATGTTGCGTATTTTACCGTATAATTAACCGCGATAAGAAAATTGCTTCACACCGTTAGAGCTCGTTCGCTTCGTATATTATAAATATATTTGGGCTTGTCTTCTGATTTATACGTCAAGAGATAGATCTTATCAATGTTATTCTTCGCGAGCGGCAGGATTTGATCAACTAATGCTAATCATACAAATGACTTGGGAGAGACACGTGCGCAATCTCGCAATCTCGCGATCGGAAATCTCGATTCATGATGTTTCATAATAAGCCCCTCTTATCAGCTCATCTCGTTATCGTGGAATAGATCGGTTCAACTTGTCATTTTTGTGGAACAAATCGAGCAACGATGGAAAAAATAGTGTTTATAAATTATTTGCACACTGGACCAATAAAAATAGCAATCGGTTCTAGCAAAAATAGTGCTGTTGATAATATTAGGTGTAATTAATTATTGATCCATCACTTTCGTGGGTCAAATTGGGCGTCGCAACAGCGGCAAAATAGCATTATAAATTATTCGCGCAGTCTCGATAAAAATAACTAATCGTTGCTCGTAAATATAGCATCGGTAATAGCATTATTCAAGTGCGAGTCCATAAAAATAGCCATTAATGCTAGTGAAAATACTAACTTTTAGTTAATAATGTTATTCACGCGATTTCCAACGCTCCTAGGATCCTATATAATCCTGTATGTGTGTTATTATCTCGATAATAAAATGTAACCGTAAATCAAGAGTCGCACGCATGTGGCGTGATTTTCTTGAATTATTCACGATTACGTTGCGGACGACATTAACGAGAGCAAGCAGATGATTAATAACCCCCGTCGCTGATTATCGAAATAACACTCGCACACCCCCGCTTGAGATTTATCGCGCTCTAATGCGTATGACGTGTAACGAACAACCGGATCGTTACGTGAATGCTTCAATTATCGCAAAACTTCCACACCGCGCCTTGCAAACAACATTCGCGCGATAGTACAAGGTCGTGTTCTTTTACGAATGCGATCGTTCCACCTTGTGAAAACCTATTCTACGAACCTCGGTCGCATTGATTGAAAGAATAGTGATCTTAATCGGCTCGATACTCTGCAATATTGCCGTGATATTTTATGGTTTTTTTTTCTTTTCATCTGCGTTCTCGAACCCCTTTATCTGTTAAATTTGCGCGCCTATAAATTCACACAGATGGATCTTTTCCTGTGCTCCAAATGTTTTACTGTTCTAATCACGCATGTAGATAAGGCAATTTAGAAATTTTATCATATTAGAGAATATATGGAAGATACATACACTCCTTCAACCACGACGGCGACTCCTGCAGGCTGCACAACCTTCGTAACTGCTATCGCGATTTGCTTCGTGAGTCGCTCCTGCACTTGAAGACGTCTGCTAAAGATCTCTACGATCCTGTAAATAGAAAATTTGTCCTCGAAATTATTCTTAAAAATCATCTTTGGAGAATTGGTCATTAAGATTGAGATCGAGGGCATGCAAATATTATTTCTTTCTACATTTATCTAGAAACGTTCCGTTGTCTCGTGCTTGCGCGTAATATGTTAACATATAATACTATAAAAGCTGTAAAAAATCTAACGGTTTTAAAATATACCGTCGCTCTGACAGCGCATCAAAATACCATCGCGTTTCTATTATTTATCCGCTTTTAAACGGCGTCTAATAAGTAAACGGATCCCGGACCGTCACGCGCGTGAAAGTGTGCATAGTCTTATGTTAGCAGACTAGTCTCGCGTCACATTTTTTCTTTTCGCCTTAATATGTCACTAATCAAGGCCAGGACTAGTAGACGCGACGACCATTCGACGAAATTGTTAAGGCATCGACGAGAATAAATAACGAGACGGATTATTTTTCTTTCTTTTTGATCTACACAATCGCAATTCATCGCTCAAAATACCGCGCGTGCTGCCATAAAAACTTAGAAAAATTACACACATCTTGTGTTAGAAAACTGAAAAATTAAAACATAGAACTAGAAAGTACAGAACATAGCGTATTTTAATTGATGATATTAGATAATCATTACTGAATAAAGATCTTTCGTCGTAATCTAAACCAAGTATCAAGTATCAAGTATCAATATCAAGTATCAAACTTAAGATTGAAATCTTATAAATATACAATACCACAAGTGCACACAGAAACGACAAAGAATTATAATTAATAAAGTTGTGCGTTCAAGCAGAAAAAAAAACAATCTTGATTCTCAAGAGATTTCAACTTAATTTTGATTAACGAGAGAAGACAATTAAGACTCAGCGCGTTGAGCACATATTTTATTATAATTAAATTATATTACAATAAGCGCTTAAATTACCGCACTGGCTCTTAATTGTCTTCTCTCATCTTTGTATGATATATTCGCAAGAGCCTTTATTAAAGTTTATTTTAATTTTTATTTGATTAACGAGTTAATTCTCGTCGCAATTAACGAGATAATTGTTTTTATATTATTATTCAAAAATCTGATAAACTGAAAATCTGATACAAAATTCTTAATACATTAAGATAATTACCTGGCGAGTTTACTAAGACCCAAAATCTTCTTGCAGGGTAAATAACCAATCGACACTTTGCCATAGAACGGTACCAAGTGATGCTCGCACATGGAGAACATCTCGATGTCTTTTACCACCACCATCTCGTCATGATCCTCATCGAATACTGCGTCGTTAATTACGTCTGAAACAAGAGGACAAAACCTATTAGTAAAATTTCGTGTTTCTCAATAAACAGCAATAATATAGAGTACCAAATTAATTTGGTAAATTAATTAAAATTGTATTTTTCATACACGTACTTATACATGTATGCAGGGTTGAATAACAATTCAATAGTTAAAAAGTTAAAAGTTAAAAGTTAAATTTAAATTTAAAAAGTTAATAACTTTTAACTTAACTTAGTTAATTTCAAACGCGTTAACTTTTAATTTAAACTAGTTAATTGTAAATACATTAATGTTAACTTATTAACTTTTTTTTATACAAGTTAAAGTTTTGTATCTTTGATAGTCAAAAATTATCTGTTTATTAATAATTATAATAATATAAGTAAGACAGTATCCAGCACCATTAAAACGTGCGTTCCTAAAATACAACACAACAGTACCAGGTATCATTCTCAGCGCACGTAGAGCGTATTTAGTACAGGTGATTCAGTATATGATGACTTAAGAGGAAAAATGACGAACCATAATTTTAAGATGACACTTTTATTAAAATTCAATAAATATTTTTAAATTGTTTTAATTTATTATTCGAGTATCTAACAATTAAAGATAAAGATAAAACGCACGTGTGCAGGTAGAGCAGTTCAAATTAAACAGGAAAGTCCTCTTAACCGAAGTCCTTATTAATCGTTTTGTTTTTAAACACTATAATATCTCTATTATACAACTATAATATATTTAAATAATGTGTATTATTCATTATTATATAAAGAAAAATATATTATCTCTCTTATAAAAGAATATCTTTTTATTATATTATCTAAATTTAAAAAGTTTAATGTACAATTAAAAGATTAATTATGTAAAAAACAGTTTTGAGTAATTAAATTTTAACTTTTTGATAAGTTAATAATTTTTTAACTTAACTTTAACTGAGTTAATTTTTGTTTAAGTAACTTTTAACGTAAACTTATTGTTAGTTAATTTTTGGGCCATTAACTTTAAACTTAACATTGTAAAAAAAAAAAAAAAAAAAAATTAACTTACCCAACCCTGCATATATGTATGACGATGACTTTAATTTAGCGATATATAAAAGCAGCTGGGTATTATTCTCACTTGTACCGTGTCACGAAAGAAATGTTCTTTCATCCTAGTAGTCGGGTTATCCTGGCTGTGATTTACCCGATATTGACCTACTTACTGTACCGTTGACTCTAGTAGTAGTGTGTACATATACGAGCGAGCAGTGGGTAGCTAGATAATGGTGGTGCTCTCCGCACCGTTTCCACGGCAACCTTAACAAGAAACACCTTCGCAATGACCGACAACGATGAAACGAATTCGTTTAACCGGCCACATTCGAGCTTGAATTCTTCCAATGGATAGCATCGCGAGTTATATAAGACAAGTCGATGACAGTCAGATCTTTTAATTCGTCGTTATATATCTAATGTAATCGAATTAGACGAGAGAGAAATGAGTTTAATCTTATTCTTCGTGAAACGTATAATTTAATCCGGTACAATTTATCATATTTCCTCGGAAAGTGCACAACTCGCAGGGTGCGTCAACAGCTCACATAACACACACGTGGTAGAGCAATTTCCTTTCCTCTATTCCGTGACCAAACGCTCGCCGAGTGTAAAGTTGGATTTTTCAACCCGATGGCTTAAACGTGATCGGCTTCCGTCAGCAATTCGATTAACTTTTACAAGCTTTCGCACGCCATTATATACGTACGTGCATGAATTTTGAACATTCCTTTAGAGAAGTGCTAGAAAAATTTATCGAAAATATTATATATAATATATATTATATAAATTTTGCTCTTATATTAAATGCAATTCCGAGTAAAAATATAGTGGGCGAGATAAAAGCTACAATGGAATTGCTCGTCCGAGGGGATGATTTGGTGAGGTTGGTTGTAGAAAAGTGCCTCTCGTTTCAGATTCACCAGTGCGCGCCGTAAGAGCTTATCTCGAGAGTCTCTCAGCTGTTCAAGCTGAGCTGAAGTGAATTAAAATCCCTCATCCATCGTCTATAGATGCTCCCGGCTTCAGATCTCATTATCGCGACTGACTTAAGACACAGATTCAAAATTACTGTGGGCATAGAGAAAGGTGTCGAAAAAGAGAAAGCATTACTCTCTTTTCCTAATACATAAATTAAAAATTTTATGACAAGAAAGATTATCGTCTAGAAATAATTATTCTCAACATTTATTATTCGTGATTCTTTTCTTTTGTTACATTATTATATATTATTTATGCCATCAACAATCATTAAAACAAATATTGCATTTGAACATCGCTAATTAGATTTGTATTATTATTATTAATATATTTTACTGAATCTCCATCCTTTTAATTTAACGCGATTTGTGTGACAGTGAGACTATCAAGGAATGACATAGGAGATTGTAAGGAAAAAAAAAGATACTTTTTGTATCAACTTGGTTACACGCGGAAATATTTTTCCGAATCTTTGCAATCATCGTAATTGTTTGAGCATTATGTTTGATATTTATACTTGATGCGAAAGACGAGGAAGAAGAAGATGAAGGAGATTTTTTCTGAAGTTACGCGTCCCTGAGAACCCCATTTATATCAAGAGTTTTACATTCTCTTTTCTGTGAATCGCACTTAAATCCCACCCTCTTGCCTCTCAGCGTCTCATTCTTTTTCTCTCCTCCTCCAGCTCGTGATAGAGAGCAAGATGAAAGTAAAAAAAGGCGAAAAGTATGATACTTTCATGAACAACACGCGCATGTCTATAATTCCGCGCTGTATTATTCGCAATAAAAGAAATATGCTTACCGCGTGCGACGGTTTCCCAGTTAATTATTTCATTATCCTCTCAAGTTTTAAATTATACCCTCAATTGTGCCACAGTAATTACGCCACGCCACGTTTTCATAGACGGAAGTTTAATGCATTCTGCATTTTTTAATTTCTTAAATTTCAGTGAATGAAAATAACTGCCACTCTTTTCACAATTATTCGAAACTATTTGAGAAAAAATTGTTCTCGCTACAAACTTCAATAAGCTTACATGTATATCGTTTTTTAAATATCTTCAGCCTGTATTAAAATTTTTTTGGCGGTTTTGATTTCAAAAAGTAGTATTTTACACATTGCCACTGTATTATATCTTTCTTCGAACTATGCTATATATTTTATAAATTTTTGATATAAAAAATATAAAAAACTTTTAAGAACTTATATAATATACAAGAAATACCATTCGGTATTTTCATGTAAGTATTTATTATTTGATAACATTAAATCATCGTACAAATCCTAATCAAGGTTACAAATTCTGAAAGAATCTTTGAGGAATTCTCTTTAGAAATGCGGAACATTTTTATGTTGGAATGTAACTATTCTAACATAAATATCTTTTTCTGGCATTCTTTAAATAATGCATAAATGTCCACAATTAATATTATAACATAAATATTTCAAATATTTTCACACGTTTGTCATCAAACTATTGACTTTTTTCTTCTGTTTTTACATCCAAGATATAAATATCTTCATTCTAATTTATTTTATGGAAAACATGCATTTTTACATTAGAAATATTAATTATTCGATCTGATAATAATTTTTTATTATTATATGTAGGCCTATATTTCCTGTCAGACAATGCATGCCCCCCCCCCCAAAGTCAATAGTTTAACCGATTTGACAATTTCAGAAAACGATGGTTTTTTCGGTAATCCCATCGACCATAAAATGACGCAAAAAATGTAACAATTCGCCCGGTTAACGTTCTTGTAACAATTGCAACGTCAGGAAAATAACTAGATTGCAGAAATCCTGCTGCTGCGATCGATCGATCGATCGATTATCGTTGCCGTTAAGTAATAAACGATAGATCGTAATCACGTATAAATGCTGCTTGTTGTAAAATTCACGTTATACACGGATCTTTGAGCGCAACCTTGCATTAGCCGACCGTCAAATCAAGGCTGCACTATTTGTGTTCAGTTTCTTTCTTTTCCATTTTTTTTTTTGCGTACAACACATACACACGTAGACGTATTAGTTTTGTAATTTCAATTCTAGCTAGAGAAAAACGAGTAGTTTAAATAATTCTGCAATAAATGTGCTTGTAGCCAACAAAAATGTTGACTTTTTTGTAATAAACATATTGTAGAAGCGATATTATCTGCGATTGGAAAATTCCTATTGAATAATTAACATTTCTAATTCATAGATATTATAGGTAATTAAATTATCAATAATGCAATACTCAAATATTTTTCAATAAATTTATCATATCATTTATCGTATCATTAATGCAATACAAAATACAAAATACTTTAATGAAAGTGATTTTGTTTCTCTTAGTCTTAATCAATTCCGTTTCTCAACAAATAATCTAAATTTGATTAAAATTGTATATTATCTTTCTTACTAGAGAGAGATTAGATTTTAAAAATATTTTTATTAGTGCCACACACTTATTCTGTAGTTCTAATTCCTATCAATTTTTTAAACAAATAATGCGACATCTTCGCTTGTGTGATTTATTAAAATATAAGATAGATTAATGCAAAGAGAGATAGAGGGAGAGTCAAGAATCAAAAAAACATTTAGAAAATAATAATAGGCGCTTATTTAATAATAATGGAATTTACCTTCGAGGCTTTGATCGTATCCCTTCGTGAAGAAGAGCATAGCCTTCGCGGCACGTTCTGGCGTCTTCAAGAGTCCCTGCCGCTCCGGATCTTCACCCAACGAACTCAAAAGTAACTTGTAACTTCGGGACATTTCCGGTAACATGGCCTCTCGCGTGGGCGGTCGGTGGTCCAGCTCCAAATCGTGGTGAAACATGCACTTCTCATGACCTGAAACATAACGTCGATCCGATTAGATCGTTAATGGAATCGCTCTCTTCTTTCCCCTTTGTCGAAGTTCGAGATTTTCGTTGGATGACGACGAAAAGTGACGATGTGTCAACATCTTCGCTATCGCATGTCACGACCCGTGATCACGTCGCGTAATCGCACCAACAGAATAAGCTGTATGTGGTCGTGCTGCAATTGAATGTTTCTTACTTAGTGTGCGATTCGTATATGATAGATGAGATCCTTTCGTAAGAAATCTAAACAATCTACGGCTTATCACATTATGTTGCACATATGTATAAATAACAATTTCGACAGACATATTTCCAAGCAGCAAAAACTGTTTATTTCCCACAATTATTGTCCATATATGCATATATATAAAATTTTTCTTAAATCTGAAATTTGTTTACACATTGAGAGCAGTTCTGCAAGGAGTGGCTTGATTCAATTGCTTCTGCAGAACTATTAAGGCCATTGCACGTGAAAAAATTTTAGTCGTAACCGTAAGGCTGTAAGCAAATCAACCAATCACAGTTCAAACATTCTTATTACGTTTTAGAATACTTGATTATGATTGATCGATTTGCTTACGGCCTTACGATTACGACTAAAACTTTTTAACGTGCAACGGCCTTTAACATTTTATTTGACACCGGATTCAATGATCGATCAATTAATCGATTCACAATAGCCTGCGAAACTCGTCGTTTCGCAGACCTGGGAGTATCATAATATGACCTGCGACAATATACGCTGCATACAACCTAATATAATTAACGACAAGAGCTAATTAACGGTTTAACTACAATAGATAATGAAAATTTTGCGTCTCATCGTTATCGTGTATGTATCTTTAATAAGTATTTTAAATAAATTGAACCGTTATATGAAAATAAAGAGTGACGCGATTGAAATAATCCACTTCCATTTCGCGTGCATAGAAATAAACGCATTGCATAGAAAGTGCTCGGCAAAACGGATTCAAGGTTTTACATGCAATATTATTCATGGGTTCTCGCGAGCGATCGGCTTCTCTAAGACGAGGACGGACGAGAGAAGCGCGTATTCGTGTTGGAAACTTAATTAGTTCGTCTCTTCCTAATGAACCGTGTCGCATAATTGAATCCAGCGCCGACGTCCGTGCGACAAAGCGGTCATTAGAGGTATCCTAGAGAATCGTTTGAGTCGCGCGATATCGATAAATTTTTAAGAATTCCATGTGTTTTTATCAAAGTTCACAAATTACACCGTGAAAATGACCCGATTGGGAAAATCGGCAATTGCGATAGCAGAATCTAATTGTTTTCAGTATGAACATGCACACACACAAGAGTATAGTTTTTATATCTACCTTTTGAATTTTTTCTGTAAACCTTAAATTATTTTTAACGATAACGAATAAAATCTAAATTTCTTTTTCTCTTAAAAATGTCAAGAAAACAATTATAATATATAAACAATATTATTTTTATGCTTTACACAATAAATATATGTCTTGTAAGTCTATTAAAATCGTACTAGACTAATTTCCTTATTATCACGGTTAATTTTTTAATGGCTCGCGTGTGTTTTTCTGGAATTTCCGATAACACCCTGTCCCACGATTCACATCCTCATAAAGTTACAGTTATATGTTGCACATAACCATAACTGTACCCCGATGATCTGCCCGTACTTGTTTATCATCTCAAGATCACCGCAATATAATTAACACAGGAACAGTCATTTCGACGGTCATTCACCAAAATTTGGCGCGTGCGGACAAAAGAGATTCACAGATTTTTCTGTAAATCTATGCCAAGTAAGCAGCTAAATTTTATATATGATTTGCACCAATTAACCGTACTTTTTGCAAAAGTATTTTTAAATTAGATAAATTTATATATCTTTTTAAAATAAAAATATATAATAGTCAATAAAGTACGCGAATTAAAGAATTAAAAAGTTATTAAAATTCATTATTTTAATTAATCAGTCTGTAAAATATCTTTTCTGATTTTAATAAAATGACCCAAAGTTATATCTCTTTCCTCTATAATAGTTTTTTCTTTTTAGATTTAAAAATAATGTCACTTCTCTCCGATAAGAATTTTATGAGATTATTGACTATCATTGCATATTAATGAGATTTAGAATATTTTAGAAAAATATATACAAATACATGTATATAAAATCTTCACAATGTATTTCTTGAGAATTGTAGCAAAGCACCAAATATTAACATTTTATATCTTGGAATTAGTTGCACACAGGGGCATGAATATTAGTAGGATTTTAAGTCAAGTTTATTTAAGTCCGATGCATTATGACGAGATACGAGCGAGAATTACGTCGACTATTTACGCCTATTGATCAAGCCGAAAAACGAAAAGCAAACTTATTATAACAAGAGTTTCCTACTACAGTAATTAAGTTACCAAACTTATGCACAAGTATATCTTTTACATTTTTTATCTAAGATGCACTATAATCAACAAACTTTAGCCAGATTTGCAGATAGGAATAAATCGATTAATTATATCATGGATGAAGTTACAAATAATTGTACGTTTAAAACACATATCGAAAAACTAACGAAATGCGATAGAAGAATTGTCTGTGCGAGGGTATTCGACAATTTTTTAAAATTTCCACATGGCAGTTCAATCTATTTTCAACATGTTTCATGTATAGGTACCTTTTGTCGTGGATGTACGTGGTGTTCTGGGTGTTCCGGGGACGTCCAGATCGCTTTCCTCGATATTGTCGCTCCAGGAAATGGTTTTCAGTGGTAAGGGCTTCTTAATCATTATTGGCTTGTCGTCCTCGTCATCGTACATCTTCAGCTTCGCGCACTGACTCGATATCCCGTTCATGATTGAGGATTTTTCAGAGTCGATTTTTCGTTCTTGAGAATCTCGTGAGATCGGGAGGAAGATTTCCGGAATGAGGCAATTGGGAAATTCGATACTGTTTAGAGAAAAAAAAAGACATTATAAGAATAAACGAAATAGTAAAATTAATTAAACGGATCTGAATTTCAAAGTGTATTATCAGATGCCATATATTGTTATATAAATGCGTGTATTATCGAACGTATTATTTACATTAAAGATAGATATCAAATAATTACAAAAATAATGGGCCAACGTTTTTTAAAAAGAATTATTTATTATCAAACTTTTTATGCTTATATATCGGTCCATTACTTTTGTACTTATTTTTTCAATATATATAATAAGCTTTTTTTATCTCTAAACTTATTATTTCATTATATTAATAATTTATTATAACATTAAATCATTTTTTTAGTATAACAAGTAACATATACTCTTCTATTATTTAGTTAAATAAATATCACTTACATGCTCATGCTATAATATAACGATAAATAAATAAAATAATTAATTCTCATCAAGAATAAAATAAGAACAAATCTTTTACACTTTGAACAAATTTGATGATCATTATTATATAATATCAATTTTCTTTTCTATTCATTCACCGAAACAATCATATATTTTTTTATTATTAAGGTGTCTCTTTATATTAGACATTACTTGCTGTATAACCGCTTGACATTTAACATTCGTCCTATCAAAAATAAAACTTCCAGTTTAAGGCGTATTAAAAAAAACCATTAAATAAATTGAAACCTTTCGCATCTGACACTCCTATATTACTTCACTTCCGATTGAACTTACTCTAATGCGAGTCGTCCCACGGCGGATGGGGCAACGTTTGTCGTGGCATAAACAAGAAAAAATGATCCGAAAGTTGCGCGAACGTAAAACACGCACTCGCGTACGGACCACGTAGAAGACGTGAACACGTGCTAAATGAACGAAAAAAGAGACGATGACGACGAGACGAGAAGCCGGCACCGCATGCGACGACTGATCGGACGCGCGGAGGAGCGTCACGACGCGTACGCTGACCAGGACGGGCGGAACGCGACTGACGCGAAGCTGGAGTCTAATCTGGAGTCTGGAGTCTGGAGCTCTGGACCAGAGCGAACCAATCGGCGGTGGCGGCAATGGCACCGGCGGTGGGAATAAACGTCACCCGCTAGTCCTTCCGAAACTATATATATGCGCGATCGTGTCTCTCCCTCTCTCTCTCTCTCTCTCTCTTCAGCTCTTTTTCTCTTTCTCCCCGCCTCTCCATCTATTACATGGTGCCCCTATTGTATTATCAACAGTCTACCTCGTGATAAAGATTATGGGAAAAAGAGTTTTCGCTAACGACAGTATTTCCCCCGAGTGCAGCCGGTTTCATCGACGTTCGTTGTGACGTCGATCCTAGAAACGCACACTGGTGTATAGATCTTAATATGCCGCGATAGATTATAGGTGTAACAAACCATAAATTTTAAAAATATATTGTCTTTCTTTCATCTAGAATTATCAGATAAGACTCTGGAAATGGACATCCATTGAGGATATCATTTTTGATTTTTCTAAATGTCGATGATGATCTTAATTATAATTCAATTATGAAATGCACACTGCAAAATATATATATA